TTTTTTCTTTTTCGTTAATGGTTTAGCTGCATGCGATCTGATTCAGGGAGTGTGCTGAGCAGGGGTGGGAGCAAGCAAGCCTTTAGAGAATGCGAAATCAGGAGATTGGGTGCTCACGATCGACAGCTTTCAGAAAGGGGCGCTCGAGACCCGACTCGGTACTCCTATCATTTATGGAACTCATGCGGTCCATGGCAACGACAATGTCTATGGTGCCACCATTTTCCCGCATAACGTTGTCTCATTGCATGGCCTAGCCATCGTCTTTTGTTGTCGTCGTGGCTGTTCATCCTATCATCATCACATTGACAATATTCATCCTATCATCATCACATTGACAATATGGATATTTTAAAGTATTAATGCAATGCCACTCTTTTATGTTGCCGCACGCATTCATCCGCCGGTTCGTCTATCTCATTTACCTTTTTTTTCCATTTTTTTTTCTTTTAATTGAATTAGGTGTTTATCTGCTTTGATTAAGTGGTGTTTATTGATTTAATGATTGGGCACACATCGGTTTATTTATTTGTATGTTTATTTTATAAATTCGACATCTTCAATGTGGACTGTATTTAACGATCACGACATACAATTATGATGCAATTGTAGAGATGCCGATTTGGTGAAAAAGATGGGGAGGTAACAGTTCTTGAAGTCAGAGCAAGCGGAGCACAGTATGCGTTTGCTCCATGCGTTGCTGTAAGTCACCCAAGTTCAAAATATGTCTCCGGCAATGTGGTCGACCGTGTCAAATATGCTGTCTACTAATTGACACGAAAACTAGTGACCTTGACCTTGTGCAAAGCCTGTGATTCAATCTTCGAACAACTAATTGGCCGAGATACGAAACAGATTGGGGTGAGAACTCACAATTATATCATATAATTGCAAATCTTACATAAAATTGTTAGGCATTCCATATCACTATCTTAGTGATAAAAAACGAGGAAGAGATACAGAGTTAAAATTAAGATAAAAATGTGTGATTCTACCAACAAAATCTCAATGTTTGAATACCTATCAATGCATTTGAAGATTGTTGTCCAATCACAATAACGATTGGGAGGGCATATCATCAGGCCTTGAGGACTCGGAAAAGGCATTTTGTCCAACTTCCAGTCTTGTGAGCAGCCTGCTCGAGGGTTCAAATTTCAAATCTAAAGAGCTCTCAGCTGCTTCCAGCTCGGTCGACGTAAGCACGAATTGGCTCCCAACGGCATCTATTGTTCTCTCGACAAAATCAGGCCTTGATGTAATATAGTCCTTCATGCGGCATATGAAGTCCAGGTGACCCCTTGCCTAAAACGGAAAAAAGTACAATTGTAAATATCGCAAGACCTATAACATATCCAGGTTGATGTTTTTTATTAATCATACTTTTTTGGCGGTTATACGAGTTTTTTTCCATTTCGTAAGTTAATATCTAAGCGGGCCCCATTAAAAGGCACTCCACTAATGTACTTGTATAATCCAAGATATCATGAGAAGCACAAATCTTGAAATAAACTCACTTAGTAACACAAAAGTAAGTAAGAAAAGCAAACCTGTCGATATTCAGGAGCTCGTTTGGGCAGTTTGAGATATCCCATGTTGGTGGTGTTGTAGTCCCATAAGAAGGATGTGTGGTGTACCCACCTATTTTTGGTGATAGACTGTGCATTCCCTCCAAACTTGTGGTTGCCAAGCACATAATCTGGAATCAAGCAAAGAAAATATGAAGGAAGCAGTAATATACTTGATTCTTTATGATATCCATATTTATTAAATTGTAAATGCAGTCAGATAAAATAATTAACTTAAAAATTAGCGGAAACCCTTTTCGACTACCAATTTATAAGGATTCAAGTACAAATGTATTATGATAATTGATAATAACTAAATCATTGCCAAACATTATACTTGATCACATAGAGTATTCATTTTTTTTTTATCTGGGCCTGTTCCCTGGTAAAGTATCACATAACCAAAGAAAATTGACAGAATACATACCGTTCTCTCGAAGCTTGAACTCTCCAATTCCTTCGAATACTTTATTGTATAATAGGCTGCTCCATGACATGATAGGCTGAGGATATGACTGTAAACCGGGAACAGCATCCTTGTTGCATATAAAGGTCACGAATATTGTGCCTTGATCAACAATAACAGTTCCTCCTCCCGTGAACCTCCGAACGACGGGAATATCATCTCGTAAAATAGGCTCAATTTCAAGAAGTTCCTTAGGTTTCCTAACAAATAATACATCTATCGCACATAAATTTCTTGAATTAATTTTCCTTATGTAGAGCATGAGAACAGGCTAGTTCTTAATAATTTGATATTACCTCAAATCCTTACAATTATTCAAGAAACAATCTGAATCAATTAATAAAATTGCAGATCACAATGGAAATTATCCACCCCAAATTGCGGATAAGCCTATAAGTAGGTTATTACTTGACTTACGAGTTTAACATGTGGACCCTGTCAAATAAAAAAATGAATCGCGTACGCAAATATGTAATATATATACAAATATATGCATACATGTAAAGTGTGCACACTTATATTCTAAAGTACTTTCAACAGAGAATAATTTGTAACACCTTTGATGTCAAAATAACTTTCAGAGAAAATCATGCACATGAAGGCTGCACATAGGGGTACTATGAGAAGTACATTATTCTCATCCTATCTCTAAAGATTACAATGAGATTAAAAAAATGTGCTTTTTAAAATAAACGATCATTTCAGACATCGTACACATCACACTATATGAATCTAGAGTCTCCATTAACATCAAGTCCACCAAAGAACCATTATCTAGCAGGTCACAAACGGGGCAGATTGAAGATCAGAGTATAAGATTTATAGGAGAAGATCATCGAGTAGAAAACCCAGAAAATGACTTAAAATTAAGCTAATGACATACAGACCAAGTAAACCTATGAACTTGAAAATTTTGACATCCATCAACGAACAAACCTATGTTAAATGCGAGACAAACCAGCTACCATCTTGACCCGCCAAGCAACGCTAATTGTGGCAACACCTTCACTATTTGTTCAAAAATTCGCTCCACACAGCTAGAGCAACCTTTGTTGCATAAAACTAGCTAAATACACTAAATAGATACAGCCACAGGTCATGAACTAATGAAAATTTAATTTAATTTTTTTTTTTTCAATAACAAATTATAACACAGAAATTGTAAACCTTTAAAACAATAAAAAAAATCAAATTTTAGGGACATAGCTATGTAGGGGCGGCCATAATTTGTAGAGAGAGAGAGAGAAGAGAGAGTAAGTTACCCGGAAACACCCATGACAATGGTGGGCTCGGTTGTTCCATCATTGACGATGCACCAGTTGTCAAATGAGGTCCTGAGCAACCTCTCCTCTAAATGCAATTGCTGTAGAATAGGCACTCCTTTTAGCTTGAGAAGATTCATTAGGGGCTGCCCTAGTTTTTTTGTTTCAGATATGACGGCCATAACTAATCGTGACCAAGCGCTGAAAATAGGACTTGCCTCCGGCACGGCTTTGAAACACTCTATGAAGCATAATCACTGAAAATAGAGACTGCCATAAAGAATCACTGGTTGTGTTAGGACTAAAGCCGTCAGAAAGGGCAAGCAGGGACTGGCCCGTAGCACTTCAAAGCCCGTAGTAGTTTGGCGGGGCAGGGCCCCACATCGGGCTGTACGTTGGACACGCCAGCCGGCCCAATATATAAAAAGAAAAATCTGAAAAAAAAAAAGAGAGAAAAGAAAAAGCTACACCGTCCAAGGCACAGTTAACAGCAACACAATTAAAGCTCAGTCAGGTCACAACTCACAACCTCAACAATTGATCCCAAAAGCAAAAACTAAAACTAATTAAAGTGCCCAAATGCTAAAGCCAAGATTCAGCTTACACAGGGCATTGGAGGCCCTGGTCTTGAGAGTGGAATAAGGCCGGCATGGCGGCACCAGCTGGGAGTGTGGATAGACGACTGGCTGTGACCTACAAAGGTGTGTGTGAGTTATATTCTTAATTCTGACCCTTTGTTCTAATCAGTGTTCTGTCAGCCGGGCGCCCCACCAGCGCCTAGCATCTGGATGAGGCTTAAAAATTAAGATTAAATACCTTATCTTTTCATTCAATTTTTTGTTTTTTTTTTTTTTTTTTAATTTTACAATTCTACTAAATTCATCTCTTCGGAATTTCATCGAACACATTGTCTACATTCTTATGTTTTAACCATTACACACCATAATGGCATTATAGCAACCAACCAACACCAAATTTATGTAATTTGCATACCAAGATTCCAATAAAGTTAATTAAATCTTAAAATTAAGAAAACCAAATTACATAATGGACAAGTAACTATAATGTTAACAAGTAATAACTATGGCTAATATAAATACCTGAGTGAGTAGTGAATAGAGTTTGATGAGGGTCGAATGTTGACGGAGATGAGCGGTCCGGCAGCGAGTTATCGTCGGCGGGCGGATGGAGACTGGCGAGGTCCGAGGAGGGAAGTTTGAGGGCCGAAGTCTATTCTGTACCTTCAAAGGTATTTATTTTTCTTTTTGAATTTTTTACAATTTTTTTTTTAATTTTATTTGTATTTAGTGTTGAATGGAAACTGTTAATATTTTCTTTATGTTCCAAAAACAAGGATTAATAGATATGGCGTGTATGAAATTTCCTGAATCTCTTTTTTTTTAAAAAAAAAATAAAATAATTTTTTTATTCATTTTTCTTGGAATTAACGTCATAATTTTATTTTTATTTTTTCCTAAAATTTGTAGCATAGCAGTATCTTTAGATAAAAAGGAATTCTTGAATATCAATTTTTATTTTTATTTTTGCCCATTAGATCTTTTAATATCAAATGGTAGATCATATTGCACGCAAAGCAGTATTTTTAGATCAAAAGAATTCTTGAATTTTGAGGAGTTAATAAAAAAGTGGGAAATTAATTAAAAGAGTTGGAAACATTCTCTCTCCTCTTGTATTTTAATTGAATACAAATCTCTCCATTTCATAAAATTCGAACCACTTGATTAAATTAATTTGATCCAAGGGCCTTTAAAAAGGCACAATAGATTGTGCGGTGCAAGTATGCACCGTTGGGACCCCGGATCCCTCTCTCGGACCTTTTTTTTTTT